TTCCCTTGACACCGCCTCCAAATCCTCTTCCGCTTTGCCAACTTCCGGTTCCGGAGAACATATTTCCAGTGTTTGCTGGTCTCCAAGTACCTGTTCCTGATACGCCATTAGGTTTTCCGCCACCAAACAGAGGCTTTGCACTCCATGAAAACACCTTGTGATTTAGCTTAGGAAGGTTAAGCTGTATATTATTCGTTGGTGGTTTTAATTGCGCTGTTACTGCAGCCAGAAATTGCGCTTAAAATAGTAACACGAAGGTCTTCTCCTAAAACAGGAAACGCATATAATATTATGATAATAATTATAGGAGAGATCTTACGAATAGGGTTGAAATTAAGTATGTACTTAAACATTTCGTCGAAAGACATCTCGTTGAATACGACAGCTTGTCGAATATATATCATTTGGTCGAATACGTCAGTTCCTCGATACTGAAACTACGACATCTGATCGAAAATAAGTTTTAACACTACTGCATTTGATAAAAAATAATGTTTAATCCTACGACACTTAAAATTGCACCCACCACACAAAGTCGTATGTGGTCTTGATTAGCTTGATTTGCGTGGTCAAAACTACTGTTGACTAAAATTAAGCATCATATGATGAAAGAATATAAAGAAAAATGAATTTTGAAGTTACATCATTGACGGTACATTCAGTGTGGCACTGCAGCATTTCTAGTATAATTGCATATAATATCAGATATTAACTATATATGACATAGTGAACTTATGTATATGACTTAAAATCGAAGTTCAACACAAAAATGTTCTACGGTATTTAGATTTCCGACACTCAGGCAATTATGAACATCTTAGGGCCATCATTGCATAATGGCGAGCAGCAGCCAAGTATTAAGTAAGTAATCAATTAGGTAAGGAAAAATATTAAGATAAGAAAAATGTACATTTATTGTTGTTTATATTGTTAATTGTTCTTTACTTGTGAGAATATAATTAAGTGCTGGGTTTTGAAGTTGTGTGCTTTCAAGAACGGGTCTGATGTACACATTTAGCTATACATGCCCACGGGCTGAGGTCTTTCACCTGTCTTTTTGATGGTACTAGTTCTTTTCTTTGTTGCACATTGTCAAATATTTTCTTATGAACTATCTGGAGATGTAGCCCTTGTAATCCCTGTTTTAACTTTCTGTCAATTATGAGATCTGTATCTGCTTTTTTGTGACACGTATTGTTCCTTTCTGTTTGACATTTTCATAGCATATTGGGACCACTTTTGACATAAAATAGCATTATTCCGGCTTGGCTGTCAAATTTACAATTCCGAAGAGATGAAATATCCCGGGAGTCATAACTTCAGCATTAATTCAGTAAATAACATTTATGATCTCTTAAAAAAAATCAATTTGAAGTACTCGAATATACTAATCCGACCACAAACAAGAAAACTGATAAGCATTTGGCAGCTGGAACATTTCAGGAATTAATATAATCTTAACCTTTGATAAATAAAAAGTATAAACTTTCTGCAACATTTACTAGTAACCGATATCCTAAGATTTAAGATTTAATACGATTAAAACATATTTGACATTTTTCTAATTATTCGGTTTCTTCCAAACATCAATGCTATTGTATGGGAGTATGGAAAATGTGTATTCTTATGAAACTGTTTATTAGTAATTGATTGTCAATGATAACGTATTGCAGTTCATTTTTTATTGTTATATTGCATTGTTGTAGCTAGTTCAAGTTATTCCTCTTGCATTTTTAAACCACTATAAGCAAGGTTTCTGGAGAGGATCGCGGAGAATTTTCCAATAAGTATGCCAAACCTAATAAAGAAGTAAATTAAGCTGTAACAAATGGACAAAGCATTCAAAGAAAATCACGATACGGCGCATGCTATTAAATACAAACAAAAAAAGTAATTTACTTTATACATTAAAAAATTGCATATCCTATATAATAAAATATTTGTCTTTCTGAATTTAATTTTACATAACAATATTTAGTATTAACTACGAGTGCTATAAAGCCGGTTTAAGGGGTGTGTGAAAGATGGGTGCACTTTTACATTATCTTTCATGAACAGACTCAATCAAACATGATCTGCAATTTTCATATAATTTTTGCTGCTTCCGAGGAGTATGCCCTTTTCCGGATTAGTTAACAAGTAAAATAAAATTAATCACATTATTGTTTTAATACTTCCACTGAAAATTCACAAAAAGGAGTAATACAAATCAGCAAAATGTTCTTTTTCTGCATTTCAGGTTTGATTGTTGCTTTCAAATTTCGTTGGTTGAATCCCGGTAGACACATCTTACCAAAATGAGCCACGTAAATAACACATTTGAAAGGACACTGACTACATTTTATCTGAGTTTATCGTTCCTAATTTCTAATTATACGCTGATGAATGAAGTTCAAATAAGGATTATTACATCACACTTTAATCATTTTGGCTGTACGGAATTTTCATTTTCAACCTTACTCCAAATCAATGTAAAGCAATGACAAAGGCTTGCTTATCATAAACATTCAAATATTCTCTGACCAGTCCATGTTCTGTTTGTTAAACATTATTAATAACCTTTAACAAATAGTTATATTTTTTTTCACACAAGCTTTGCTGAACTTGAGTAAACGAAATTATGCTCAATAGACTTTTGCCAATGTCAATAATCTTTTTGCAAATGTTTTAACATTTCGTACGGCTTTTTTGTTTAAAATAGTCATATCATTATTTTAAGCATTAATCGTTTGATCTTTAGCCTAGCATAAAATTAGTGTCTAAAATTGCTTAAAATTCGCATTTATGTGACCGGTTTTTTTTTCTTTGTTTTTTTTTGTTCAAATTCAAATTATCCTGTTTCATTAATAGTTTTGTTTTTAACATGCTTTTCACGTAAGCGGAACATTCCCATTATATAATTCTGTTTTCAGTTTTCGCGCCAAATGTTAAAATTTGGAAACAATATGTAACAGAGCATCAACATAAATAAAATTACAGCCTACGAAAAATGTTTCAAGATTGGCAACTACAATTTAATTAACGTTTAACTATAATCATGTAATATGTCAATATGGCGACATAAGTTGAACAAATTATTCCAAATTTAGTTTATTTGACAAGCAAAGACATAATGCCTGCAATATGTGGATAAACACACAACATACAACGTATTAATGGCGCATATCCTATTAATTCCGTGAGAGAATGCATTTGTAAAATGATTTTAACAGCTAATATAGACTACATTTTTTCACACATTTTAGGTTTTATTGTTATATAATTCCAAGTAAGGGAAATCTTCAATAAAAGTCTAGACGAAGCATCATGTTACCAGGAAGTTATAACCATGTAACTCTCAAAATACCTTTGTGGCACATACTGTATAGAATAGAGGTGCTGGAATTTGTGTACGTTCGAAGCTAGGCATGTTGTTAAAATTGTTACATTAGTTATTTTGGCAAATGCCCATGTCATATTTTTTTAATCAACACCCTGGCTTTGAATCATGCAAAAGAAGCAGCATTTAGTATTTGTTTTGTGATTATGTATTCATACACATCGTGACTTTAATGGTGTGCCGTGTTATTATATATTTTTCTTGTGCTCTCTTGTGCTCCATGAGAATTGATTCCAGTACAAAATTGAGTTTTAAATTAATACTGATTAACCGGTGCTCAGTAAAACCAATACCGCAATTTTCTTCTTTTAACTCATCTTTTTTCTCGAGCGATATCTCGTTGTCAAGTTTTATTTTCCTTTTTTTCATTTCATTTTACAAAAAAAGAAAAACCACCTTTTGTAGAGGTCAAAATGAATGGAAAATTGAATCTTTTAAACTGTAAAAAATAAATATCAAAATATCCATTCCTGGCTGAAAAGTTAGTATTCATTTCAATAGCTCATGTATTAATAAAAGGCTTACGTAGTTTTAGTTTTGAGATTTGAGAATACTCAGAAATGATCTGATAAGTCAATAAAAATACATATTGCTTTGGTCCGCCCGTAATATATCTCTACAAAAAAACAACATTTGAGATTTCTTATAGCATTTGTATTACTCAACGTCACTAATTTTAGTTCGAGATTTAGTGAAATTCATTTTCAATTTTGCAAAAAGAAAACAACAACAACAAAAAAGAAACAGACCGTATAACGATGTTATAATATTCTGTAACTCGATTTATACAGTCATAACTCACCTTTACTAATGACTCAGTGCAATGTTCCTTTAACATCATTCAATATATTTTATTATTTTAATAAAGAAAATCATTATAAACATAGGTAACACACACAAAAGCGTGCACGCACGCACACATCATCATCTTGCACAAGGTGAATGTATTAAGTTATAAAGAACATTTCCATTCTACTTGAGATGATTGATGGTTTGCTATAAATGCGTATGTCATATGTAAAGGTCGATTATGTTTGTAAGAAACATCTGAATATTGTCTTTTATTTTATTATCTTTTTCTCCCATATCTCATTGTCTCGTTGTACATTTTTATTTTGTATAAAGGTAATAATAAAACTTGTGTAATACTCACAAAAATCTCTTTAAGTGGCAGATAGTAGGATGGTGACCTTCTAATTTTGTTCACTAATTTGTTTTAATCATAACTCTTTTAATCATAACTAAATGCAACATCACTTAGCCCACTAGAAATTGGTGAAAGGGTATTTAATTCTTAATACTAAAAGTATTTGAATTATTGATCGAAAAATTACAGAAAAGTAAAAGTCGTTTACTTAATTCAGCAATTATCTTAATTAAAATCATCAGCGCATCATGTTTTTACAACCCATTACAAATATGTACACAAAATGTACTTATCACAGGGAATAGTTTGTGTAAGGGAATGCATCCCAATCAATCGTACAAATACTGATATTGTAAGAGTAATATTTGCCTTCATAAGCATTACAAGCGTTATGCTACATTTAAAAGGATTAAAAACAATAAATCTGATATAAGTAGTATCTAAGACAATATAATGCATTCCCCAAAGTTAACCTACAAAAGTGTGACTAAGTCTACGTCTGGACATCGTTTATGATATAATTGTTGAACAGGATAAATGTAATACACAATGCTAGAATTCGCACATATGACAAAGGAAAGATTGTTCTACTAGAATTACACAGATCTTTGTCATCACAACAAGATCTCAACGTGCAACCTCCAATCATGTATTTTGCAGGGTTGGATATACACGAGATGAAATCTTCCATAGAGGATGTGTCACAAGTAGTGTCAGTACAAGTTCGTATCACAGAATCATAGTGTGTCACATTGTCAAACATTCTGTACCGAACTTTCTGAAATGTAAAGAAAACACTTATTCTTGATTAACTAATTTAGTTCAAAATCGATTGCTTTTAGTTGTGGTAAAAGCTTGAACTTCATTTTAACAAATGTCGCCAGCTAGACCAAACCAACACTGGTACTATATGATGGAGCAGAGTCGTGACCTAAAATGCTCAAACCCACGATGACTGGATTATGAGGCAGACACCTTTACAACTTGGTCAATGTTCCCTTTTAATTAATTTCTAGTTGTTGTCATACTCAGGTAATTTACAATTAATTATATACTTTTAACAGAGTAACAACAGATTTATTGTTGATTATTGTGTAACACAATTTTAGATTGATCCATGTCGAAAACTCCTAATTCAACTTATATGATTGTATAAAGATATTCGTACATACGAAATTCCTAGTATTTATGTATAAAATAATCATAACATATCTCACCATACACATTTGACCATCCTGACATTTGACCTTTGATGCCTTGTAATTATCTTCAAGGTCTAAATCGCAGTCATGGGCGATGCACTTCCAACATTTCAATGCGTTGCCTACAATGTATATATGTCTTTTATCCTATGCGATTTAACTGTGTAATAGACTCTTTCTGTGACAAAATTATGAATCAGTCATTATCTTATATAATTATTATCTTAACTATGGAGTTAATAAACTTTTATCTGATTTTAGTTTGTTTGTTTGTTCGTTCGTTGTTTGATATATTAAGTACATAAAAATCAAATTGAATGAAAGTTCTAGAAAAACAGGTATCTATGTTTTTATGGTATTGGCTTATATTAAATCGGTCAGAGTATTATTATTACTATTTTGGTAAAATAAATGTCTTTTATTTACTAATATCTATTTAGTGAAAGAAATGAAATAAAAATAACAAACTTACAAAAGAAAATGGTTTCCAGATAACCGGTCAATATCAGAATTTTTTTTAATCCAGTTGTCATTTTTTGAAGCGAAAATTATTTCCTTTTATTGTTCTTCAAAATCAGATTTACATTTATCGGAACACATTTGCATTTTTTTTCAGTCAATAATGTATCATATAAAAAGATAATTATCACCTATGTAACAATCAATTTATGTGTTTTCATTTCTTTCTGTAATTGGTACGAAAAAGTATTAAATTCCTATATAAACATTTTAATAACAATCAATCATTTCAAGTTCTAAAATTTTCTAAGACAGTCAGTTGCTTTATGATTAACATTTCACAATTCCTTTTATTAATAACGTGAATGTTCTGGTCCACAAAATGTCCCATATAATGACAGATAACAAGTACTTATTTTGACACTAGTCATTTCCCGTTATCAAATTCAATTCTAGAGAACTTCTTGAACTAAACATTTCTCGTCGTTTGAACAAGGAGGAGACTTTTCCAATAATTATGTCATTTACAGTAAAGAAGTATTGGAAATTGTGCTGTTGCGACAGAGAAGCACATAGCGGACGATTATGGGTCGACGTTAGATATTTAAAGAGATGTTAACTGTATAAAATCTTTTCAAGCTAATTCTTTTAAACATACAGATATTATGTCTAATACATTGTCTGTCTCTGTTTATTTAATTATTTGTTTATCAATCACTCCAATGTTTGTAGTCTCGTGGTTAAAATGTGAACAGAAAAAAGAGCTTAACAACAAATGAAATTGTATAGTGAATACTCACATTAAAGAAAATTTAAAAGAGATCATAGTTTCCTGGTTCAATTATGAAACATGAAAACCAAAGGCAAATTACAAAGACATTAAACAGTAAGTATTATATACATGGGATAAAATTTTCATTAGAATTTCGTGTAACAGACTGGTAATCATAATCTGTCATAAACTGCCACTGTCATTATACTGAATAACACTTACAATGCGATCATCGGTGATGCTTATTTAGGTTAGGAACATTAAATTAGAATGGTAATTTATAGAAGGATTCAATCAAGATATTCGTGAAACTACTTTGCATCTAGTAACAAATCACACTCGTAAATTTTTATGCTCAAAAACCCTTATAAAACGTCTCTCGTTCACCAACCTTCAGTCAATCGTTAGCACGTTCGTAAACACAAATATAGCGATAGCCCCGGATTTGTCCAATATAATATCACGGCGGTACGCTTTAGGAATTGTTACGACACGTACACACGTTTTAGTGTGTTTGTTCCGAACAGGTCAAATCTAAAAGAATAGACAGCTCTGAAATTGATATGGAGATGTGAGTTTCTAAAGATTTATGATAGCTGTAGTTCAAGTTAATTTGCAGTTATTGTGTTTCAGTTCATGAACTTTGCTCTATAACTACATATTTCTTGAACCAGAAGATAAAAATATTTTAATTATGCTTATTATTACAACTTTAAGTTAATTTTTTATCATTTTTGATAGCATTTATTATGTGTAAAAGTCCCGCAATAACCACCTATACACACTATAGATTAGAAGTTTGCGTTTACTAAATTTCTTGCTATCAATAAATACTAATTTTAAAATGGCCAATGAGATTGCAAGAGTTCGGTCTTTAATTAAAAAAGACCAATTAAGATCCTATTTTTATATAATTCTTACTATGAATTTAAAGGATGAAAATAGATAACTTTTAGCAAAAAAGTAAAATTGAAGCAATAAATTGTGGTGTAATTCGGTGAAAAATAATATAATGTTCCTGAATTTAGCAACATAAATATCCTTCCCAAATACTGTGGATAACAATAATATTATTAGAGACATATCATATCTTGTCTAGTCAAATATTTTTTTTTTCATAAACATAATTGACGAAACCCGCCATGTCCACGTTTGTGTCTGATAAAATAGCTATTAGTTCTAGATTACTTGCCAAGAACTGAAAATTGATTTCTTTATAACACAAAGCTTAGAGAACTCATAGCTATAGTTACAAAAAACAATGTTGCCACGCCTCAGCTGCCGCCATTGAATATGAAATATCATGTAATAGTATAATGAAAGCTTCAAAATAATTTGGGGTAGTGCAATTTGGATATTTTACTCATTACATTGACGCTAGAATATCATTTAATATAATGGCATAATGGCTGTTATACTATTTAAAAAAAACCACAACAACAACATAAAAATAATAATAATAATTACAATAATAATAACAATAGTAATAATGATAATAATAATATCATATTTCATATGACAATCAACCTTCGTTTGTATACTAGCATTCACAATACACAAAATTGTCTTTCAAATCCGTTTCCAAAGTTATATTACAGTGTCAATATAAAACTAACTTTAGAATACTCCTTTTACGCATTAAATTTATTAAAAAGAATTCTATAATATTTTTAACCTTATAACTTAATGTTGGTTTACCGTATTTGAAAAAAAAAATAATCGAATATTGAATGGAACCATATTTTAATGCTCTTAAATTTTGCACACGTGTGCGAGTTTCATATATTTCTCTCTTTTTTATGATATTTTTAATCCGTTGATTGAAAACTCAGCCGGTTCTAAAAGCATTATCGTGTAAGTAACATTGATATGGATATAACATCTCAATATGAAAAGTTGATAAAAGTAACAGTTCGTAACATGATTGGGAAATGGAACTCCTTTGTGTTAAACCTAATATGTTTTATATTCGAGCATAATTGGAAGTCTCTGCAAAAGAAATAGGCAAGTGCAGTCAGGGGGTTATAGGCACGTATTAAACAGAATGCGCTTTGTCTTTGCATATTTATTTTCATTTATATCACTTATAAAAACTTATATAACAAATGCCAGCTTTTAATTTAATGACATTCCTAAGGACCTTGAAAATGTTGCACATATACTCAACGATTATGTATTTATGATTGATGAAAAACAAATCAGACATATTCCGCATGTGAGATGCCCATTATCAATTTAGCACGATTCCTTGAGCAGAAAAGCATAATTATGTATACAAATTACTTGTCTGTACTCACAAATTAATGGGAAAAAAACAAGATTTTGATTAAAACTAAATTTGTTAACGATTGAGCAAATGATAGTCTTGTAGACATGCGCTACAAAAGATACCGTTTCATACAATTTCTTCGTAGTTTGTATCTCTTTTTATTCGCCAAACTCTTGATTCATGTCGAAGTGGTCTACCATGGCAATAAACTTTGAGGATTTCCATAGATTCTTATGTATTGGCTCACATTTGAGGCTTCTGTTAATGTAATCTGATGTTATATCATCTAGAATATTCTCAAAAACGTTTATAGGAAGACTCTTTGTGAGGTTTCTGTTTAGCATAATTAGACAGAAGACACTTTCAGCGCAAGCAAATACATTCGTAGATATGTTTGATGACAAAAAGAGAAAATAGCCGCATTTTCATAAAACTTATTTGCCATGCATTGACATAGATAACATATTTACATCTCTGGCCAGGCGACTGATTTGTTTTTGAAACATACAAAACCATCGCAGAGCTTTATTTGTTCTTAAAACATCCAAATATGGGGAGCTGGATTGCTCTTTGTCAAACGTGTGTACATTGCATACAAGAAACCGCTGCTTCTTCTTTAAATATTTCTACTTAAAAAGATGGAAATCATTTTGATATCAAACACATAAAATAATAATTATAAATTGCATAATGACCTTTAAATTTGACTTAAAGTTTCTTAATGACTCAGCATTTATGCAGACATAAGATACTTTACAGTGTATAATGTACTTCTAATTATTTTTACGACCGAATAATTTTTGTACTACTTATTTTCATTTCTATTCTGTCGAAAAAGTGCTATTGGCTGTATTTGTTCATCAGATTTCAGAAGAAAACTGATAACAAGCAAGTCTAGAAGGCAAAGACGTGATTTCCGCCAGTATTACATTGGTATTTAGATAATAAGTATCTTCTTTAAGACTTCCCCGTCAGATTATTCTCATGAACCGTAATTGAAAGAAACCTTTTTTTGTAGTAAGACGTTCGTGTCATTTAGACACATCAAACTAAATACGTTCGAGTGGCAAGATTGAAAAGATTTCTTCCGTTGACAAGATTTTCGTAATTCCTTGAATAAATACATATGAAGATAGCTTTATGTAAAGCCATGTCGGGATTTTCGGCGTTTAATTTCATCACGTGTCTGTCTTGGTTGTAATTTAAAAGGCCGCACATTATATATTTTCTCCAGTTCAAAAACAGTACACGAACATTATAAAAAATATTGTATTATCTGTCCCGTGTTATTTTAACTTCTCTTGTTTTGTTGAACGTTTAAGGTAAATTAACTCAAAGTACTTTTTACTTGGTGGTAAATGTTTTTTTTGACAAGATTTTCGTAATTTCTTGAATAAATACTTTTGAGGATAGCTTTATAATTATGAAAAGCCATGTCGGGATCTTAGGCGTTTAATTTCATCAAGTGTCTGTCCTGGTTGTAATTTAAAAGGTCGCACATTTTATACATGTATATTCCCAGTTCAAAAACAGTACATGAACATCATAAATTATAGTATTGTCTGTCCAATATTATTTCAATTTGTCATTTTTTGTTGAACGATTTTAAAGGTAAATTAGCTGAAAGTACTATTTTACTAGGTGGAAAATGGTTTTCATTTAAAATCACGTTTAAAGTCTTGTGTTTATGATTATAAGCCGTGGAAGACACTAATTGTTCTGCATAGAATTAAGTTGTTTCTTAACGCGACTTCCATTTCAAAATGCATGCACATATAGAGAGCTGACACCAGGGACGATGTGTCTCATCATTGACATAACATAATTATAATTAATGGTTTGGAAAATAAAAGAAAAGTTATTTTATTGCACTATAATTAATCAGAAGTCATACAATTTGCGAATAATTTAACTTCTGCGCTTCCGGCGAAAACGTAATTTTGCAATTAAGCTTGCATGAAATCCCTTTCCACCACCCCCTCCAGTACCTAAACCTATTGATGATCCTCTGCCGATACCAAACGTTCCCTTGACGCCGCCTACAAATCCACTTCCGCTTTGCCAACTTCCGGAGAACATATTTCCAGTGTTTGCTGGTCTCCAAGTACCTGTTCATGAATCGCCAGTAGGTTTTCCGCCACCAAACAGAGGCTTTACATTCCATGAAAACTCCTTGTTGTTTAGCTTGGGAAGGTTGATAAGCTGTATTTAATTCGTAGATTGTTTTAACTGCGCTGTTACTGCAGCCAAAAATAGCGCTAAAATAGTAAGACTAAGGTCTTCCCCTAAAACAGGAAACGCATATATAACACTTAGATCTTACGGATAAGATTGAACTTAAGTCACAAAACTGGAAGATAAAACAAACTGCTAGAGTCTATTTAATCATT